TGCTGCCGCCAGCGGAGTCTGGTCTGGCCGCAGCCGGCGCAAGCGGCACGCGCGGAGAGCGACAGCAACGTGGAGCATCGCACGCCCGCGACGTGCGTTCCGTCTGCGTATACGATCGAGAAGTTCGAGCCCGTGGGCCGACAGCTTCGGGCGCTGCGGCCTGACAGCGAGAGGCCAGGCCCTCGTCCGAGCCCTCTCGCTGGAAGCCAGGTGAGAGCAGAGCCTGTGTCGACCAGAGGGCGAAAGGAGGCCACCCCGCCGGCGGCGAGACGCAGGCGCAGGCCGCCGCCCGAGTCGACAAGCCTCACCACGAGAGGGTGCTCGCTAGACATCACGACACGCGAAAGAAGCGCCGACACGTTCGCGAGGGGGAGCTTGAGCGTCGGGTCGCGCGAAGGGTTCGAGACGTGCAGTGGCTTGGTTCTCGACCTTCTCGAGGTTGATATCCTTTGGCCGCGTTGGGTAGCGAGCATTGGTGTAACCCGAGCCACGGAGGCGTGTTTTCTGACGGCCGACCGTCAGTGCACGGAGTTGCCCCTTCTCCGACTGCCCCGGCTAGTTCCCGAGTTTCGCGGGAGTGACCCCATGTCGTCAAACCCGAGACCTAGCGCGGGTGGGTTGGAGGGGGCTCGCCCCGTTCCTCCCCATCGGGCCGCGTGAGCGGCCACGCCTCGCAGATTCGTTTTCGCGCCTGGGACAGGCGCGCGGGGCATCCCGGCCCCTGGGTCGCTCGACCAGCGATCCGAAGAGTGGCCGCTATGCGAAGGAAAGAGTGGGGCCCTCGGAGTGGCTTGGTGTGACCGAGTACGGTCGGACAGCGTCAGCCGTGGGGGTAGATGTCTACATCTTCGAGACGCAAATTACGCACCCCCCTCAGCACCGGTAGCGGTACTATTGAAAGGCAAGTCGGATATCGCAGAGGCAGATGGCTTGCCGCCTTAATTAACTTCTTTTCTTTTCTAGCGCATTGAGAAGAAATACCTCGCGGTTGCCCGGGCCGGCTGAAAAGAGCATACTCTTGCGGCATGTTTCGCCGCGCTTGCCGACTGCCGCACCGCGCCATCGCGGGCAGGTTGGCGGCCGAACCGTCCGCCCTCTGCCTCCAGCGTCACTTCTGCATGCCACCGCTTGCCTCACCCGACGACATCCGTAGTGTCAAGGGCGGGGCTCTGCTTATAGACCTGCGCACGCCAGAGGAGATCATCGAAACACCTGGACCGGACGGAGCGCTGACTTGGGACTTTCGGTCAGATCCGACGGTGCCAGAGTATCTACTCCCTGACGACAAGGAGACGCCAATCCTCCTTTACTGACGGTCGGGAGGCCGCGCTGAAAAGGCCAAGGCGCTGCTAGAGGGCCGCGGCTACACACGTATCTTGAACGGCGGCGGCAACACGACTGCCCCTCAGTGGGACGCCCTTCTCGAGTGAAGGCTCGCGACGTGCGCGATTCGGCTCGGTGCGAGGGCCCTCTCCATGACGACTCTGCGCGCAGGGCCTGCCAGCGGCTCGTGCGGGGCCCGATGAATGAGTGTCGCGACCGGGTCACTTCGTAAATAGCGCATCCAGCAGCAAAAGACGGCGCGCAGAAGAGAGCTCTTGCGCTGAAAGCGGAACGCGCCGTGGCTGGGAGCGGACTAGAGGCAAGTGCCCGGCCCCCCCAGCCGGCGCCAGGGTGTACACGAAGACCCCGGGGTGCGCCTCGAGCGGGGTGCGTGTCTGTCACTCTCTGCGCGTGTACTGTGTCACTCAAGACGTGTGCAAGACTAAGGACTGGAGGTGAGGCCGACGAACACGATCGCTCGCGATCGTGAGACACGTTCATTCACACCCACACACACCACACAGTCACCCACCCCGGCACACTCCACACACACGGGGCCTAGCCCTAGGCGGCCCGCCATGAAATCTAGCCGTGTGTGCTGGCGTCCGGGTCCCAGCGGGTTTTCACGTAACAAGTACACACGGGCGATCGGCCCGCTTGCCGCGGGGCCTCCGCCGTGTGAAGGGACGCCCAGAGTGACGGATGGAGACGCAGACTGCACTCCAAGTGCTCCAAGTGCAGACGGCGGGTGGCGGTGTGTGAATGCGAGAGGCGCACTAGCGGCGCGAGGAGTCGCTCATGGCAGCAGCATGGCGCGGGCAGCGACAATGTTTGCGCTCGTTCTCACGAACCGTGGTCTTCGGTCTTGCGCGAGAGCGTGTGCTTGTGTACGGCCGGACGCTACGAACGGGTAGTTTGTTTGTGTGAGTGAGTATTCTTGATACGGGTGGGCGCCGGAGTGGGAGTGTGTGACTGCTCCTGTGGTGCGGGCGACGGCTTCTGAGGAAGCCGTCGCCCGCGCCTCGCCTGTCGCGCGAATCGTGTCGTGCGACCGC